AAAAAACCAACGGTGAATGTCTCAGAAGCAGATTCCCAGGCTCAGATTCGCCCTGGTGAGAAAGGTACTACCAAAATAGCAGGTAGGAACTAGGTGTCATGGGAATTTCAGCATTTTCTGCTGAGGATAGTGGGGGATTGGGATCCTCAGCAGAAGATGATGCTTCCAGCATCTCCATGCTGGCAGTGGCTTGACTTAATAAAGAGTCAGAGGGAAGGGTCAGGGCTGGTGGACGTCTTCCACCTTCGCAGGAGCTAACTCCATGACCTGCCACCTTGTTCTTGACCCCCACGGTGACCTTTCCCACTCAAAGGACTGGGTTCAGACAGTAGGCAAGAGAGAGAACAGGGCCTTGAGAAAGTTGTTGCTAATGTTGAAAGAGGGTTCAAAAGAGGGTTCAAGATGAACGAGGCTCTCAGTCATCTCCAGCACAAGGATTTTGTGCAAAACTAGCCTGATGGCTGGAAGGACAGAATTATTAGCATAGCTATTGTCCAGCTCCAGTGTGGCCTTGACAGGACACCTACAGGAGGTGTGTGGGGGGATTAGGGCTGTTTTTGGGCAGGGGAGAACTAAGCCACCACCTGGAGGGGCAACTGCTGGGCCACTGGGGGCACCCTGAGGGTGGCGCTGCTGGTGCTGCTTTTCCTCACCTTGCTGCAAAGCCCAGCTGGCTGTCTCCCTGCAGCACAGCTCCCCAGAGAGCTCACCCAGGCCAAATGCCTCATGCTTGTTGGCAATAAGACGGTCATACGGGACAGTGGCAAGCCATGTTCAGGAGCTTGTAGGAACATTTGGCAATTTTGAGCCACAGGTAGTTAAGGTAAGTGCAGCTGGAGGCCCTCACTTCACTTTGAAACAACCCTACCTGCCAGCAAGAAAATCTGTCTTTTTAGAGAAATATCTAAGTATTGGAGGAAAGAATAAAGGGAAAAGGGTACAGAACAAATGAAGAGGAGGACACCTCACAGCTGCCAAGAAAAATGTCCAGGAGCCATTGGTAGCTATGTGAATTGCATGGAACAGCTGGCTTATAAGTCTTCTGGCCACCCCTAGGGCTGTTTGTGGTGTGGAAAAATTCTTAGCGTTCCATCACCAACAGCACCCCCAGGGGTCCAACGCACAAGCTGACTAGACACGCACACTGGCTTTTCATTCTTTAAGTGAGGGCCGCAACATTAATGGTATTGCCACACACTCCAGGTGGAAGAATACGTAACTGAATGCTCCTCCATACAAGAGTGTCTTCATATTAAAAAACGAAACGATGGGGCCTGGCCCGGCCCGGCCTGGCCTAGCCTAGCCTGCTATAAAACAACTAGAAGGAGATTTAAATGGGTCCATTGGAATTTCAATGCTGGGGCAAAAAGGAAGAGAGTGACAACAGCAGAAAACTCTGAATCAGAGTAAATCTAGCCAAGAGGCTAAGATGACTGAGAGAGGTAAGACAACAAGTGTGACAGGTGTGTCAGAAAGGCAGATGAGCACACACTGAGCCCAAAGACAATGACAAATTATAAATGGAGAGGAGGGAGCATTTAGAAAAAGGTCAGAAGTGGGATCAGAAGAGAAAGGAAGAACAGGTATAATTCCAGAGCCAAGTTGGAGGAGGAGTGTGTCAGAGGCAACGGTAACCTGCTCAAATGCCAACACAGCACCCAGAATATTTGGGGATAATGGGAACACCCACTTCAGCAATCTTGTTCCATGCTATGAATGTGAGAAATCATGCAAGGGAGAGGGGTAAACTAAGCTTTCCCCACCCCACATTATTGCTGAGTTATGCTTGCTGATGTGAGTACCATTGAGTACCACTCACCATTTTTCTTTCCTTTTGATATTGACAAATGAGTGCATTTTTTCTGCATCCCTGGGGAGTCCTTGGAGGATCTATGAAACCCTTTACCTCATCTGCATGTGGCCCAGTTTCACGGCCCTGTTGTTAGGTATGGAGCAGCTCAGTGGTCTTAGCAGACAGGCAATGATTTAAAAAACCTTCTGGTTTAGAAGGCTGCAGTTCAGACTTTCTCTTTTGGTTCAAGCTTGAAACAGTCAGGAAGATGGGAGAGGCCTTGATCGACATGCTCATGGATCAGTAATATTGCGCTGTCACATGCGCTGTCACAAATTGTGCTTGCTGTCAACTCACCGTCTACGTGCCCCAGGTTTCCATGCTCTTTCAGGCCCAGATCCAGTTTGAAAGGATGGAGCTGTTGGACCGGCAAAGATTATCCAGGTTGATGTGGTTCTGTCTTGCTTTAAAAAGTGTCCTGGCCTTACAGGGTCTCTTACTTTGGGAGGGGGCTTCAAACAAGAGATTTGGTAGGCAAGGCTCCAGAGGGAGCACTGTGTCACAGCCTGAACTCATGTCCCAGACTCTCCCAGCATGAGAGACAAGGAGGGTTGCCCCCTCTCCTTAGAGTCTGCCCCTGATCTTTCACTCCGGGGAGCAGCAAACAGCCTCTCTGGAAAGGTGTGCTTGCCCAGACGCCATGCTCTGATGAGCCTTTTCTCACCGAGAGGCATTCTGACATGGCCTTTGAGATGGTTGGCAAGGCAGCAGAACACCTTGTACCACCACTGGCCATGTGCATCAGCCCCACCTGGAGGTCACCAGGCTGGGAAAGGCAGGTATTCATGATGATTATGGTAGGGGCAAAAAATAGAGAGGGACCGTGAGCAAGAGATGTAACCCTCAGTTTTCCCTCCATTGTAACACTGAGGCCCAATCCACAGGGAGTTCTCCTACACCCACTTAACTGAAATGAACTGAAATGTGCTCCATTCCCATGTGGCAGCTTCTTAGGTGGCTTGTGCTTCGAAGGAACAGTTCACATTCCTTGCTTACCTTATGTAATGAATGGCCTGGTGTCCATAGTCTCTAGGATCATTCAGAGGAACAAGTTGTCACTTCCCTTTGTACCTCTGAATAGTCCCAAACTGCTCCAGTATTCCAAAGCAGTAGAATTACTTGAGAAGTTCTACTTTCTGAGCTAATATGAAGATCAGAACTAAATCCACCACACTTTTGGATCCCAATAGCTATTTTCTAATTTAAACTAATTTTACAAATAAATATGCATAAATATGTATTAATATTTATGCAAATGCTTTATTTTCTTGGTAAAATGTATCAAAATACATTTCAGGAATTGAATTTTGAAAGAACATATGCATAGAAATGAATATTTTCAAAGAGAACATATGTTTAAAGTACGTATTTTAATCCAAGTTTCCAGGAAGACCTTTTAAAGGAATGACTGCAGATTATGAGCAAGCAGACACGGGGAGGTGACTTGAATCATCTATTTCTAATAAGCAGTGTATCCAAGCAAAAGGAAAGAAGAGGAGCAATGCTCATCGGTTACACAGGAATTCCATCACTCTGCCCAGCTTTGGGTACCTCTCCATTGCTCTGCACTTTCCCAGGTTGGCTGCACTGCCTGATCGGAAAAAGCCCTCTGGGAGCAATTGCCTCATGATGACTTCCCCTGAGCTTTAAATGAAACCAAGGAAGCTACAGCCTGCCAGAAAGATGATAGTATGCTAGAAAAGGAATGCCTGTACACCCTCTGCAGCCATCTCCTAAGCAAGCAACCCCAACCCATTAGAATTCCTCCAAAAGGTCCTTCAGCATTGAATCTCTTCAGAAGCCCCTCCTTCCTTCCTCCTTCCTCCCTTTTTCATTTATTTTAAATGATGATGGTTGAAAAAATGTGGAAGAAATTTAAGGTGCATCACTACTTCCATGTAACAGAGAAGAGAAATGGCTTGGCCATCAGGTAGTCTCCATTGCGGTGGCTCCTTTCCTATGGAACTCCTTACCTCTGGATGTCAGATGGGCACCAAGGTTGTTTGGCTTCCAGCATGTGCCGAAAGACATTTTTTTCTTGCAATAAGCCTTCCCCAGTTGAACAACTACAGCTTTATGGGTACTCTGCTTTTAAAATAGCAGTGAATGCTGTGTTTACTCCTTTGATCTTTTATTTTGCACTTGCTCTGGAAATCTGTCTAGATGTGGATATGGTATAGCAATGTTATAAGTAACATAAATGCATATATCTTCACAGTGCTTTTATCTCAAGGGGCTTTTGACAGCCCAGACTGAGAAAAGAGGAAGGCTTAGGCTTAGGTGTCTGCAATGTTAAGTCCTAGAACCTCCGTGTCTGTTTCTTTCCCTTAAGGAAAGGGGCAGCATTGTTGGGCCACAACAACAACCTGTGAGGGAGGAAATGCTGAAGAAATGTGTGAGATCCACACTCGCTTCATAGCCAAACAGGAAGGTGGGTATGGCTTGCCATATCCAAAACCTAACAGTTGAACTACTAGAACATCTCAGTAACTGCACAGAACTCTGGAGAACGTGATGTAACAATAGACAAATGACAATGCGGAATTCTCATGGTATCTGAACAGAACGGATCTTATACAGTTCTGGACACAGGTGGCATGATGTGAGAAGCTCCATGACATGGGAGGCATCTTATATGTGGTGGCTGTCTCATAATGCAGGGTTTGAGAAGGAACCATGTCACAGGCCAGACCTCTCGTTTATTCTGGTGGCATGGGAAGGAAAAGTCCTTGTGTGGTTGCTAGTATAACATAAAAAAGGAAGGGGCCCAGGAGAAGGCTTGTGGATAACCACAACCAGTTCCCACAAGGGGCAGCCCCTGGTGTGGTAAGTAGAGGGCTAGACTGGGGACCTGGGCAATCTGGGTTCTAGTCCCCACTTAGCCATGAAGCTCCCTTCGTGACTTTGGGCCAGTCACAGGTTCCTGGCCTAAGCTACCTTGCAGGGTTGTGGTTGTTGTGAGGATAAAGGAAGAGGACTATGTAAGTTGCATTGGATTCCTTACAAGAGGAAAAAAGGTAGAATATAAATGCAATGTAATAATAAGAAGTTCACGACAGTGCAGTCTTGATAAGGATTTACTGAAATCCACAAACATCTTTCTATTAAGTGGGGGAGGAGCTTGGTATCATCATCATCATCATCATCATCATCATCATCATCATCATCATGCTGAATGTGGGAAAAACTGACAGATCCTGGTCCAGGCTTTTGTGTTTTGCTCTGAAAAGTCTGGATTTGAAGGCCTGTATATTCAGCCATGTCTATATGGCACACTCAATTCCTTCAGCAGTTGTATTGATAGCGTCCACATTATCAGAACCTCCATGGTTGGAAACAGTTGTACCTACTGAATTGTGTGATGCAGACAGAGATGGTTTTTTTCAGTCCTTTTTTCAATAAGATTTTATCAAAATTGCAAAGTTCTTCAAATTCTAGAGAGAAAGAAGTTGAGATCTTAAACCACCACCACCTAAATGTGGGAGAGAGTGACACTGGCAAATTTGTTCAAATCTAATTGCCCCATAACTGGAATAGACATACAAGGCTTCTAAGAAAAGGCATGATCTCCCAGAATGAATAGACTCCTGACATATCTCATGTTGCAACTTAAATCTTAGAGCTGGCCTTGAAGAAAAGCATTGCTCAAACTTCACAGGCCTCTAACAGACAAACCTTAATACACTTCAAGACCCACTGGCTTCAAAACCCCCTCACTCTCAATTACTGGTGCATAAAGAACATCTAGATCAAAATAGACTCTAACAAGGGGAGTACGTGAAAGGAAACAATCTGTTCTTCATGTGGACATTTTTCTGTCTAGGCTTACAATGATATAAGTGTTTCCTGACTGCTCTACAAAAATATAGTAACCCAGGTGGAAATAAAGAATATGTTTCTTGCTTGGAAACATCTATCTAATGCCTCTCCTGAAAGAATCATATGGTTTGCAACTCCACACTGGTGATAAAGCTTCACTTAACCCTAATCTAGTGACATGGGCTCAAGGCCCAAATCTCACTTTCTTGAGTTCCTTAAACAGCTACACATCCTTTCCCTGATTTCCCAGTTTTTGTGTGGTTTCTTTCTCATTCTAAGAGATTTAAATGGTGAGCTGGGGAGAGTGTTTTGGGGTCCCAGTGTATGTGCCCCAGTGTATGTGACCCTCAAGCCCTTGGGAGAAACATTTAAATCTCTTAGAATGAGAATGAGAAAGAAACCGCACAAAAACTGGGAAATCACTAAGCAATACTTTGGCCACAAAAAAATGAGTTTGGTCCCACTCACCTCTGGAATGTAGTCCTCAAGATCTTCTCTATACTGGAATTTGGCCCTCAGGCAGAAAATGGCACATCTTTGTTCTAAGCAAAGAAAGTGCACTTCAGGAAGTTCATAGGGGCAAACTGTGAGGGAGTAAATGGTTAATCCCAGTGTAAACTTTTCCACCAACAGCCAAATCTCATTCCGTCAGCTGCTCCCTCTTTCCAAACAGATTGTCAATGTTTTCAGCAAAGTGATGGCTTATGGTTCCTCTTCCACACATTTGTCAGTGGCAGAGGTTTAAAAGAGTTGATGGGCATCATTGCGTCTTGGTTGACAAAACACATATTTTACAACCTACACAGTTTTCTAGTTCCACACCGAGAGGCGGGGGGAATTAGCTTTGCCAGTTAGACGCGGTGCTATGTCAGCAACTTAAGTATAACAGGACAGAAGACATCCCAAACAGGCCTCGGCGTTTCTGGAACAAGGACAAAAGGCTGGGCTTTCTGTTGTGTTAAATAAGCCTTCGTGTCACAAAACATTTTTATTTAAACAATGCGAATTTATTTCTCCTTTAAACAGTACAACCACTAAATAAAGGATGCCTGGGCAACTATTACCAATTGCATGTCTTGAGAGTCTTTCCCTTAAAATGAATGACTGAGGAAATAGTTTAACACCCAGAGAACTGCTTACCCCTGAAGCCCTCAGAAGGCATTCACATGGTATGGCAAATAACTCTGCACTGTTTCCATGGCACATGGATTTTTGCCCAAACCGGATGATCTTGTGCTTACCTGGGCAGCTGAGTTTCCACATTCCCAACTCCATCTCCCAGCCTTGTCATGCATTCTAGAAGCCCGCACAAGCAAATCCCTATCCATTCCCTATTCTTGCCTCTAGACCACGGCAATGCCCAACCCCGACTGATTCACTCCACTCCTGAGGCGCCGTCCCCCATTTCCCTTCCAAGTGTACCTGCATATGTCTGTGGCACTTCCCAGCCACTCCAACCCACACAGAATTTTTTAATGCAAATATTCAGTTTCACTGTGATTTTCCCCATTTGTGTATTTTCAGGTATCTCACTATTTCCAAAAATAAACAGGGAGACAGACACATTACTCAGCCAATAGGAATAAAGCAAGAGACAAAACATCTGCCACTGGGGTGTTCAGGACAGTAGAGATTGGAGACTCAAAGTGGCCACTCCCATTGCCACTCTTGCAAGGGGATTCTATGGTGTTTCCATAGTGACATGGTAAAATGGCAGTCCTAGGTCCAGTTGACTGGACAAGCCACAGTGAAGCATGGAAATCTTAGTACAGATGGTTAATTCTCTCTGGGGTTCAGAAAACTAATCCTCCCATGCAGGAACTCTGGAACTGAATTGAGATGTCTCAAGAAAGCCACGAGGGTGAGATTTAGCCATAGCTTCTTGTGTCATGAGAACTTGTCCCTTGTCTCTGTGCCTACCAGAGAACAGACTTCTATTGGTTTGATACAGCTGGCTTCAAAAACTAGTACCTTATTGAAACTCATAGGTGCTAGCATGGATCACTTGGAAGCCTTGGCCTAAATCTTACATACAGAACCTTAGGCCTGTGGGCCAAATATGGCCAACTTGGGTCCCAGTCTCACAATCTTGGATCCCGCAGAGGTTCATGCTCTTACCATGGTCCTTCCCCTTCCCCAGCTGCTAAGCAGTTTCTGGGATTTCCTCCATCTTTATGCACTTGTAAAAGGCTGAAATGGCTCTCCTGCAGCTTAATCTTAAGCTAAAATATTCTGGCATTTTGGTCCACCCACTTTTTTTGCCTTTGACCCCACTCACTAGTGGCATGAGGCCCCAATATTTTCTTGGTAATTGAAATCCCTTGTTTGGTTCAATGAGGTTTTCCAGCTGTGGTCTAGATATTGGAGCATCATCACAAAGTTTCTGGGAAGGAAGGACAGAAGGAAGGACGGAAGGAAGGACAGAACCCAAGACTTCAGGAGTTAAACAGAAAAGGGACTATCAAGAGAAAGGCCAAGAAAGAGCTATTTATTAACTTTGTGCGCTTTAAGCTAACTTGTACTGCACTGGATGCACATCTTCTATGGACCACTGACAAGAGAAAAATATTCTAAAATTCTTCCATTTTGAACATGCATTTAAACAAGAGAGATCAAGAAAGGCTTTTTAAAGCACACAGACACCTGACAGCTTCCTAGTGAAGACACTGTAACAGAGCTTTACTTTTTCAATAATTTGGGCTCTTCTGCCACACAGGGGGAAATAATCATATTCTCAGTTTGTGCAGTCGATCCCTTTCCTATATACACAAAAATGAACAGAATCTGCAATTTCTTTTTGCCAACCAAAATATAGTTATGCTGCTGCCTTTTTCTTGACAGAATGATCTGTGCAAAATTACATTCTGTTGACAAAAATATAATGAAATGTATTTGGTCAACAAAATAAAATGAAAGGTTTGACAAAATGCATCTTGTTCACTCAAAGAGCTCTATGGAGCCCTTAATTCTATGTTTCTGCCTATAATCTCCAGAAATTGGAACCAGAGCACTTAAATTTAAGTGGAATCACATTATACTTTCAAAACCTAGCTCTTGCTTGGAGTGTTTCCACAATGGTCTTCACCCACCTTACGCCTGAGTAGTTCCATCAGTACCAATGGCAGCCAATATGTTTTTCTCACTAAAAAGTGACAATTTGCAAAGTTTGGTTCGTTAGGGTATTGTTCAGTCTCTCCATCTTAGGATCTCTTGGCAGCTTTCAGCTCCTGAGCAGCCAGCCAATGGGGATGAGAGTAAGCAGGTATTTTCACAAGTGCTGCATTCACATATAACATTAAACAAAGACGTGGGGTAACCATGTGGCATGGTATCTCACCTTCTGCCCTAGGTTCACACATTTGAATGGTCTCCATGCTTCACCTTCCCTCCAAATGTCAGCTGGTATCCCATCGATCCCTGTGGCTAAAAATCAATCCCAGGATGCACCAGCCTTGCCTGGTCATGTGCCTCTCCCTCACTGGACAGAGGGAGTATGGAAAGACTTGTGGGCATCTTTCCGGAAAGTCTTCTGCTTGTCTGCAAGGATTATGTTTGTCACACAGTTGTAGCAAGGATGGGACTAGAGGGCAGTGGCGCTCTCAGGAATGCCAGGGACAAGAGACAATACGCTGATGACATCCAACTCTATTTCTCTTTGTTACTTAGCACCAAAGAAGCAGTTGACACTGTTGAATGTTGTCCAAGTTTGATCATGGGTTGGATGAAGATGAATAAGCTGAGGTTAAGCCCAAACAGAAGGAAGACCTTGTTGGATAACAGATAGCCTGACTGAGGAATTGGGATTCAACATGTTCTAGGAGGGGTTGTGCTCTACTTGAAGGATCAGGTTCACAGCTTGGGGATAATTCTTGATCCCACACTTGCCTTGGACCTTCAGCTGTTCGCGGTGGCAGGAAATGCCTTTGCACTTATTTATTTATTACCTTTATATACCTGCAGGCTCTCGGGGTGATTATTCTTGGTGAGCCAGCTGTGAAGTAAGTTCGTACAGCTAACTATCTATTGGACTCACATTAAGTCATTTGAGAGCAAAACAGAGAATGAAATGAAAGCCAGTGAAACACTTGAAAGTACTTAAGTCTAGTTGTCTCGTACCTTTAGTTTTGGAAACAAAGGACCACTTACGCTTGAACTAAATGACAGTTAAGAATTGGTTACCTTAAGTATGAGGCTGTCTCTGTATGTGTAGCAAGGTGGGGGGTTATGCCTGTGTGTGTGTGCTTTACAGATTGGGTTAGGGTGGTCTGTATGTGTGTGTGTTTTGCAGGTGAAGGGAATTCTGCCTTTGCATGTGTGTTTGTGTGTGTGCTTGTGGGGAAGCAGATTGTCTTGCTGTTGCAATTGCTTTTGAGGGTGGGTTACCTTTGACTCTCTGTGTGTATGTTTTGAAGATGGAGGCTACTTTTGCCTATGTGTATTTGTATGTGGTATAGGATTCGTTTATGCTGCGTGTAGGATTTTTGAAGGAGGTCTCTTAGCATCGCTGGTCTGTCTTCTGTGAAATGTTAATTACGTTAAGCTCTATCTGGCTTCAGGAGTCTCAGACTCTGTCTTTGCCTTTGACTCCAGTTTTGGATAACCTTCTTCTGTCTGTGCTTCATCAGTTAGCTTACTCATGTTTCGTTCCGTGAAATTGGGACTTGTGTGTGTGCGTGTTTTGTCAGATCAAGTAGGTAGTTTAGTATTTCGGGCTTAAAAAGAGGCCCTTCCTTATACTGTTTTCTGAGGAAATCACTTGTCCGTTATGACTAGACAAGCCCTGGCCCCATGACAGCCCTTGGATTTCCAAATGTGTTCACAAGACACAAAAGATTCCTGGCTCAAACTTTTCTTAGTGAGAGCAAGCCAGGGTCAGGTCATTCCTTCAGATCCTGGCCTGTTTTCAAGACAAACTATGATTCCCTACATTGGCCATCCCAGGAAACTGAGATTGGCTTGAAACTGAGAACAGAAGCTTCCATTCTTCTCCCTATGGGCCTAACAAAGGACAAGAAGGGAAGTTGACTATGTGGCCTCAAGGGTTGCCATGGTTTATTCTCACAACAGGAAGAAAAGAAAGTTTCCCATTAGTTCTGAATAGTGCAAGTCTGCGGTTTTAACATTTGCTTTCTTTTCCCTTAAGCGATAGATTGTTTGCAGAGTACTGAGACATTTTGTTACCATGTGGAAAGATATGCCCATTATTCACAGGGTTCAGGAAATGGGGAGTTAGAAGAAGCCTTTGTAATGGGCCCATTAGAGAATGCGACATGTTGTGCTAAGACTGACACGCTCCTATAGGGTCTGTCTCAGATAAGTAGGGGTGTTGTGAGACAAACTTCCTGTAATTAAGGTCTCAACGAACAGGAATGTTATTCCAACAAGACACATGTATTCATTTCAGGATGGTGCTACTGTATTGAGGATGTTTCAGTTTTAGTGAAGATTAGCTCTACCTTTCTATTTAAAAAAAAATCCAGGTGAACCTATTCATTATAATTATATTTAGACTTATCTGCGTCACTGTGAGTTCAGGTTTCACGGCTGGAGATACACCCCCCCACCACCACCACAAATCTGTTCTCAGTTAAGGGTTTCATCACAGCAATTGCAACAGCTTTCATATAGGTGCAAGAATAGGCAATCCTTACTGAACTCATCTGCACATTTCCTATGAAGTCCATTTGGCCTGATCCAGGTGAAGGTCATTGTGTTTTAGCCCTGCTGAAAGCAAAGGGGCTTAATTTCCCTGCGGCTTGCTTGTTCCATTCATTTCAATAGGGTCCAATCTTCTGAATGTTTACTCTCACTGTATTCAGTGGACCTTAATCACAAAAAAGTAGGCCTTTGGCTCAACAAATGTTCTCCGGATTAGAGTCATTGTGTCTTCTTTGGTGACCAAGCAGGAACAAGAATAATTTCCTGGATAATTTCAGTCCATGTGGTCTGGCACCACATTCGTCTTGATATTTACGTTGTGTACTAGAAGAGGCAAGGCCTCCTGGAAAGAAAGCGCTGCCTTCTTTTACCCTTTTCATAGCATGTATGGAACACACTCCGTTATCCATTAAGAGCCTTTAACTACCCCATTGTAATTCACTGACAGGGCCCTCTCAAGAGTTGTAAAAAGGTGGATTTTCCTCATGCTTCCAACAGTTTACATGAGGATTAAAAATCCCCGCAGTGACAATTATTGCAAAGTATGGCTCGTATCCATTGTTAATCTGACCTGAGTCCCATTCATTTCAGTGAGTTTACTCCAAGTAAGACACTGGTATGAACTTTTATAACAAGATACATGCTATGGGAATCACTGCCACAATCCAGGGGAACTTCATTGAAATCCGTAAGGTATGAGCCTGGGTATTGAACATCTTTCAGCCCAACAGCCAAATTCTGAAAGACAGAAGGGGCACAAGCCTGTTTTAACTTCAATTGCTTACTTCCTGAGGAGAGACATGCCTACAGTTTAGGATGGAGAGAGGGGACACTACATGAAAGCTGGAAAATCAACAAATAATTGGTCTTCAGCAGACAGGGTGAGCCAAGGGAAGGAAACATGGGCATCTGGGGACCAGGTGGCCAGACCAGGAACCCCATCAGGAGGGGTCTCACTCCAGTACTGGGTGGACTCTAGCCCCACTATAAGCAAATGGAACAGATTCCTTGAATACTGAACTTGGCATTGACCAGTTGCTATAGTATTGGATGGGTGGCCCCAATACTATGCATGCTTAACTGGAAATAGAATATCCATAGGTCTTCAGCGTATCTCCATAGGACCCTCAGTGTGTAAGTGCACTCTGGATTATTACAACCATTGGATTTCTGTGAGATTATTATTAATTTTTTTTAGGCAAGGCCCCAGCAATCATCTTATCAAGATGTCAGATGCATTTCTTTCAGCCTGCACCAGTTGGATGCCTGTCCCCAGAGGGCTTGCTGACGTCCTGTGGGAAGGAAGAAGGCTTGAGGGAGACAGGAGCAGGCCAAGAGAACATCAAGGTCTGCTCCACATGGACTATGCTGCCGCCCAGGGCTAACTGACATCAAATGCCCTGTGGGAAGAAGCACTGGATGGTGTCCCCTGCTTAAGGACAGCTGGTTCTTCTGTTCCTCTGTGTGTGTGTGCATGGGCATATGCACAGAAAGATCTTGTAATTGGTTTGTTTCTTTGTTTATTGGTAAATATTTGACACCACTGAGAGTACTCTAGTGGGAAAGTAGCACATAAACCTACCATATAATCGATAAATATTGGGTATATCTGATCACTGTGACAACTTGAGTTCTTTCACCCAGAGTCCATTGCTGATTTCTGTTTCCTTCTTACCACCACCAACAACTTTATCATTGCAAGGTAGATTGGGAATGTCTCCCCAGAGAAATTTATCAGATGACTGCTGGTGGCTGCGGCATGCCTTCACTGTCTATTCAGTCCTTCCGATGTGGCAGGAATTTGCCTATGAAAGATTATGATGCAGTAAATCTGTTAGTCCCTCACTGCCTCGAGACATGGATATGTTCTTGCTGCAATGGACTAAATGCGATATTCTCCATTCATGCACGCCACTCGTCTTTGCACAGATCCTTTGCACAGCTCTGGGGCAAGATGCTCTCCATGGAGACTCCCTTGTGTGATAAAGACTCCTCATCCACTTCCTTGCTGCCACCCATTTATTCACCCAGAAACGTGATGGACAGAAGGGCCCACAGTGTTAGCCAGGAGTAATGGCAGCAGCAGATCCCTTCCCTGGAGCAGAGGAAGGTTAGACGACTTGCATTGGTGGCGCCAGCTCCTCAGTGGTGAGTGGGCAAGTGCCAACCAGAACCAGGAAGAGCTACAGGGGATTCCAGGCAACTGTGAGGCACTCTGGGGCTCTGGAGAATCTCAGCATATGCCCCAGAAGTCTGATCAACTGTACATTTCTCTTTGAATGTGCATGCACTAAAGAAGTTTGGTTGCAACTGGGATTATTAATCCAGATGTGACTTTGACAGTAGAATGGCACCACTGTCCCCCTCCCTACTGAAAATGCTCCATCAGTGAACATTGAAGGATTGCCCTCTTCCGAGAACTGTATCCTATCAACTCACAGCACCTTATGATCAGCCACTATCTCAAGATGCCTTCCTTCCATTGATTCCCAAATGCATGACCTTATACACTTCTCTTCTTTATAAAGCAAGGAATCAATGCAAACTTATCTTCATGAAATATTAACAAACGTGCAGTCAAGTTTGGTCTATGATTTCATCCTCCTTTAGGATATATATGGAAGAATGCTTTGGAGATTTCACAAGTACAAAAAATATTCTAAAGAAAGTGGGAAGAAACTCAACAAACCACATCCACCGAGTCCTGATTTGGAACAAACCTGTGTGTAATCCTCTCTGGGCAGTAATTAGTTCATCATAGTTAACAGTCTACATCAGTGAAAGCTACTTTGAATGGTACTTGTTTTGTAGTGAAGAAAAGTGTGGGGTCAAGGTTATGCACTGCAGTTTGTGACTCTTTCTACTTTCAGCAAGGGGGGAAAATTGGCAGACAAAGGCATGTTATAGCAAAACCCTTGAAGAGATAGAATGCACATTAAGTTTTCATTATTTCCTCCTGCAGAGCCACAGATAAATGCTATAAATACAAAAAGGAAATAAAAGACAAGGTTCTGTTCAAGGAGCACTGCAGTAAAGGGAAGACTGTTTTTATTCTGAACATCCACAGGATTGACACTCGAGGGCAGAATTCAGCATCTGGAGCAGGCTCAGCACTCTAAACAGCCCAGCATTTTATTTTTAAACAAGCTTCTAGCACCCACGACTGTGCAGAAATGATAGAGAATGAACATAGGTGTAGTAGCTCGCAAAATCTAAGACACTAATTGTGGGGCTGAGTTGAACTCTCAGGGGAGACAAGAATTGTTTGAATGCAGACAATGGGAAAGACAGAGCTTCAAAGAGGATGAATGGTTAAGGGATATAAAAAAGTAGTAGAAACATAAAGAAAAAGATCCATATCTAAATATACAGTAACAAAGAATACATTTTCCATGCATCCTGCGTAAAAGCCGAACAATGGTTGGATCGTATATAGAATCCAGTTTTAAATAATCAGAGCTCTGTCTATTTTGTACTACAGTTTTTATAGTGTTCCAAGTTTCCTCCCAGCCTCATCTTGTCGCTTTCTGAAAATGCACTACAGATGTGTCATGGTCCACATCTTTCTCTCCACCTTTGTGATGTTGAGTTTGAAGGTGCTGTTGCCTAACTGAGTCTAACTAGAGAAAAAGTACTCTTAAATTTGACTCTTCCCAGTGTAGTGTAGTGAGTAAGAGTGTGGGGCTGAGACTCAGGAGATTGGGGTTCTCATCCCTCCCACTCCCCTCAGCCCCGAACCTCACTGGGTAACGTTGGGCAAGTCGGAGACTCTCAGCTCAACCTTCCTCACAGGATTGTCATGAGGACAAAATGCAAGGAGGACTAAATAGATTGCTTTGGGTTCTTTTCACAAGGGGAAAAGGTGAAATATAGATGTAACAGCAACACTGTGGAAGGACCCAACCACAGACAGAAGGAAGAAGCAGCCATATCTATAGCTGCTTTTACAATCAGTGTTGAGAAATTAGCAGAATTGCTGCCACCCCTAAGCTCTTTGTGGCTGGCAATGACTTGTGTAATTAATACTACACATCGTTAACAAGGGCCTGTGCTAGGCTTGGTGTAAGTTCATGAGCTGCTGTAGGGCAGAATGATGGGTCTATTTTCATTGCAGGGTCATGCATACCACTGCTGGGTGAACCTTGGTGAATGTTTGGGAAGGAAGCTCCAAAGAGGAGTTTATACAAACAAGCATTAAGCTGTAGGAATACTTTTGGTTTATCCTTAGAACACAGATACACCTCGTGTCTTTATTCATGACCAGATTCCATACTCTGCAACCTCATTTAAGTCTACTCCACGTGGCCACTTCTGCTACGCCATCATTTGCAGGTGAGGCCCAACAAGATGTACGTATGCAGAACTTGAATTTCTGCAGTGAATGAGCCCTCATTTGTTTTCAAACCCAGTTTTTGAGATATGATGATCCTTATCACAGAGGAAGCCAAGCCTCTTCACATGATTAGACTCAAAGAATATAAAACTGTTCCTGCTATCTTTTCAACAAATTAGCCCCTGCCTTTGAGTAGCTCACTCCTTTATTATACATTGCTGTTAACATTTTCCACTGTACTGTGTAATAAAGAAAGCAATTTGACGAGCTGATGGTTCTGGCCAGTAGCAAACTCTTCCCACAGGAAAACTTTGACAGTGCCGATTCACATACCTGTTTGTGAAGAGCAGCCGCTGCATGTGACATCTCCCAGCTGCCAGTTTTATACATGTGAATATGGGGTGCAGGAGGCTGCAAAACAGGGGGGAACAATAATATTCCCAAGCTCCAAGAAAATGAGAAAAGGATTTCCCTGTGAATGTTGCATTATTTCAGCAGACTTGTTGCTTCAATAAATACTGAAATTAATACTGAAGAGTGCAGCCCTGTTGCCACTAGATGCTGTCTGGGCAGCCATAGGAAAGTCAGCTTTCCAACTCCGACCTTGAAAGTATATTCCAAGGTCACAGCTGGGAATCTGCCCTTGCAGTGCCCTCCATCCATCCTCGCAGTACTTTTTTCAACTGGATGTACTTTCAAGGACGGAACACCAACTTTAGATTTGGCACTGGAGAGGAGGACGAAGAAAGACTCCACTGGGATACTATATATCCCAACGGGGGCTCAGCCTCTCCTGGTGTGCACAGGCAAAACACTTAGATGGCGGCAAAATTGGTCTTCTAAGGGTCTGGTGTGGTGGGAGAAATGTGGGTGCAATCCCCCTCTCCCATCCTCCTGCCCTGGATAGGATGCCTGCAATCCTCTGTGTTCGGGGGGCAGGGAGGGTTACGGTAGTCAAGCTAGTCAAAGATCCATTGAGATTAACAGCTCCATCTTAAAACATAGAAGGACGCCTAGCATTGTCATCGCAAGGATCACGTTCTATGGTTTCCATTTTGACTCCATAGTTTGAGTGCATCTCAGTGTGCACTTGCATACGGATAAGGGCGTAACCCTATGGCTGGTAGACGCCACCTAGAGACCCAACTCTGACTTCTAAAATGCATTCCAAGGCCGACTTTGGAGCTGACATGGAGCGGGGCATTCCAGAGATCAGGGAGGGGAAAAATGAGTTTCTGTTGGGATCTGAGGAATCCCGGTGGGTGGTGACTTAGTGCTGCCTCCTCGTGAGCAGAAGCAAATGGCAGGAGATATGCAGAGAACCTCCTTGCCTCCAGTCTCCTCCCACCATTGATGGATGCCTGTAGAGCTCTGAGTTTGGAGGGTTATGTTGGAGGGGCAGCTAAATCCCTCTGAAATCTGCAGAACTGCGATGTGCAGTTAGGCCAGAATGTGCCAATTACTGCACATCCTGCTTTTGTTTTGCTTTATGAGCCCTGCATTTAGCAAAGCTGCTCTAAGGAGTATGGTACCTTACTGCAGCCAGAGACAATTACTAAAGACAATTTCATGCATGGGCGGCACTGATCTTACCCTCCCAGATTCTTCCATGCTATTTAAACCAGAACCAATGCTTTTCTGAGCGGCCCCTAACTGAGATTAATAAACAAAGCCAGAGGTTTAGCTTTACATTATAGGCGCTCCGGTTATTCTTATATCGTTTTTGTTTCAGCAAGGTCACAGAAATAGAAGGTTCTATGAAATATTATTGCTTGCCAAAGAAATTTAAAAATGCATTCCCTCAGAAATAAGGGGAGCAAGGGGTTGAACGAGGTGTGTTTGGGGAGAAACCAACATACTTTATTAATAAATATAAACAAAAGCTCACCTAAGAAATATAAAGGAAAAAATGTTGCACTGCCATGGAAGGGAATGGGCATTATTTTATATTCTTTTGGTTTATCCAGAAAACAATTTTCTGTGCACACACAACTGACTTGGATACAGATGCATGCTCACACCTCTGTATTTGTTATATCACTATGTTCATCTTGGACTGGATGAAATGATAGTCTGCCTTTTTATTTGAATGAAATTCTTCATTGCTATACAGAACCTCAAGTTTCCCGCCCTGTTCTTGGTCACCACGAGGGTCTGTGGGGATCTAGCCTTGTCATGGATATTGCTGTGTTCTTCCCTGCATTTCTAGGAAAGTGTGACACAGGCTGCACCAGTCTTAAACTGGCATCTTACATGTTAAAAAGTTAGTTTCTTGAGAAGGTAAATGAAAAAAAGCATGCAGGCAGCATTCTGTCCAATTGCTCAGTAGGTAGAAAACTTACTTCTGCCTTTCTCCTCACAAATGACTCATTGAGCTTACAGAAAACTGTGGTAGAACTTTTGAAAAAAAGCTACTTTACATTGCACATATATTTTATATTAAACACAATTGAAGGTGCAATCTTGTGCAAGCTTTGAGAGAAAGAGGCCTAGAACTCCCAACATGCCCCAGCCATCCTTCCCAGGCATGCAGGGAATTGTAGGCCTTTTTTCTATTATTGACACCAGAGTAGAGCCCCCCTCCCCGCAATTTGTGGAATTCCCTCCCATGAGAACTCTGCCTGGTTCCAACCTCCCATGGCTTTTAGTAGTCCCTAAAGAAAATGTGGAAGTGCATTACCTTTACTGGAGGAAGCCTCCCCTGAAGAAGAGCTTGGCTCACCGAGCTGCAGGGATGGCCTGGCTCTTGAGGGTGAGGCCAAAAGAGGAACATGGGAGGGAGACATCCTGGCAGGGCATGAAGATACAAGCCCCGCATGGAGACCTGGAATCTAAGTCAGTGATGGGAAGACCTTCCAGCCCCCTGGAATGCTGCTGCTTAGAAAGAACGTGGGCCTTCCCCTTCCGGTGGAGAACAAGATTACATTCCTGGCCTGAGCAATTCTCCACAGCTTGGAGTGTGGCTGTCTCCATCCTAAAACAGTTACTAGCATGCTAACAAAATGCTGAAGACAAAGTCTGACTAGGTCTTTGCCTCTCAGACTTTGCTCACGGATGCTTCCCTTCTTTCCTTGACGGAACTTCTGTGTGTGACTCTGGGCCAAAACCGAGTGGCAAACCTCTGCTGATGAATGGACTGTCTTACTGGTTTAGCTCAAACCTTAGACAGGGCTCTGATTCTCTCTTTCTGCTTGCTCCTCGGAAAAGTCACCCTGGTGACTGCACATGGACTTGGTGGACTGTTTTATCCCCAAGCTTATCGATGCTGTGAACTTAGTTGGCAGGGTTCCCAGCTTTATTGCTTTGGAGTTAGCCTTAAAACAGAACAATAAGATTCTGCCCTAAATGACTTAAGTGGCATTAATCATCGAAGTCTGATTCACTCACTGTGGGCCTAGTCCTGTCATGCATGGATTGGTTATGTCCTGACTAGACTACTGCAATGCTTTCTGTGTAGGGCTCCCTTTAAAGGCCACCTAGATACAGTATATATAAAATCTGGGTGATAAAAGGCTTATGGGGACCAAGCAGATTGACCATATCACACTGGTCTGATGTCAGCTGCAATGGACAGAAGAGGATCTACTGATTTGCTTCATTTGTGCATACGCTAATGTATATATTTAGCATCAAGCTAGAGATTATTCTTGTATGTTAAACAGAAATACAGTTCATCTTGGCATAATATGTAAGACTGCCCAGGTGACGTGCATTTTGCTCAGTCTGCAGTCGAGGTGCTGTTTGGTTGAGCAGCTTCCAAACCCAGCTCTACCTTCTGAAGATTTTTAAAATTGGATTTGGACCAAACATCTCCTAAAGTTAGAGGACAGTCCTCCAGCATCCCTTCAATTAAAGGATGGTCTTCTGTAACAGGGTACTTATCACTCTACCTGTTGCTAAGGTCGACCTTGTTGGCAAGTCTGAGGCTTTCAGTGGTAGAATTAAAATATTTTGGGTTGAAGGCAGTGTTTAAGCCCTACCAGATTCTACCTTCCCCCCCCGCCCCCAAAAAACCCATCCCTGTATAATCCACAGTTTTTGTCAAAAACATAGAGTTTATTTTACAGTCAACAGGATCAGAATATCTTAGGTGAAAACCGAGTATGAAGACAACTGAGTGGAAGAGCAGTGGCATAAATTAATCATAGGCTAAAAGAAAAATCAATTCTGTTGCTCCCGATTTACCAGAACCTCTCATCAATTTCCTCCCCTTCCCTCAAATGGCCAGCTTAAGAGACAGAACTCCACATCTGCCCTGCATTGCCTGCCAACTTTGGTCCCATTCCCTTTCTAAGTGGCCGTTCCCACATACAGGGAATGAGACCGGGATGGCCCCACACTTGTGGAATTCTTGCTCTTGTGAACTCTGCAGGATTCCACCCTCTTGTGGCATTTAACAGTCCCTAAAGACTGTCTCTGTTTTGGGTTTTATTAATTCTGCCAAGCATTTCCTCAATTGCACTGCTGGCTCCCTAAATATTGATATTTTTACAAAGTTAATGCCAAAGTAGAGTACAAAAACTGTAAAACACAGTAAAGTCATTCCAATTCACAGGGAGAAAACTGAACAAGGGAGAACTGGAACACAGATGAGTAGCTGGAACAAACACAGATTAAATCAAAGTCTGGGAGAATGAATAGAGTAAGTTTAGTACACTATTTTGTCTTGTAAGCCTTCTTGAGAGGGTTTGCCCTGAAAGTTTGGGTAGGTAGAGAGGAAATAAAATAAAATAAAAATACATATACTTAGGCTATCTATATTTATTCAATGTTTCCCTGTCTACAACTGTTGTACCGGCACAGAGGAATGTAAATTAGTTCTTACATTCAAACAAATGTTTGGTTGACCAGAGTCAAACTGGAAGTGGACTCAGTCTGTGGCATTCAGCTATGTACTCTGCTTTCCCTTGATTAATTATAGGCAACAAAATAAATGTTACTTGAAAGGTTGCACTTGGGAATCTCTTCCCCTTCTAGTGCAAGTAGGACCCTTATGCACAAGGCCTTCAACAGGAAATTTCAGGTTTGGTGCTCACTGCATTCCATAACAGGGGTGTCCAATTAGTTTGATAGCATTTTATTTTATGGTTTATTTTAAAACACTGGCAGTTATCAGGACTGTTATAACAAGAGGAACTCTTACTCAAACTCTGAAGCCCCATTTGTTTTTGTGGGCTTTCATAATCTATGAGCTGCAGGTTTTATTGATGCAATTTATTTTTATAGTTTTGTAGTAATTTATTGTATATTAATTGCCTAATTGTATATTTTGTCTGCTTTTTTAATCCTGTGTTTCCCCTTGAGAGGATGTTTCTCTTAAAGGTGGGCTATAATTTTAAATAAATGCACTTTAACCTATCTCAATCTCAATACTTTGTAGGAAGTGCTGTATTATTTGAATGTAAAACCAA